AATAAGCAAAAGTTTTAAATAAACCGGGCTTTCCAACCGCACGATAAGTCTCAGGATTGTTTGTAAAATAATCCGTCAATTGTTTTTAGAATTCACTTACACAATCACGCTCTACTTGCACAGACTCCTGTTGTGACATCTTAATGAGGACGTGCAGGGTGGAGTGTAGAGGTCAAAGGATTCAGTAACCTGACAGAAGCCCTCATCAGACTGTGACGTTTCACCTTCAATCTGATTGTCACAGAGGCATATTGGGGGGGACAAAGTGATCCCCCCTCTGTACCATATTAACATAGGTTAAGATGTGAGGATTCTCCACTTGATGGACGTATAAACACTTCAAAAGTGTGCTTTTTTTTAGATTTTCTCCTGGACGTCTCCTGCACTAATTTCCATGGTATAGAGATCTGGTCAATTCTTGTCCGGCGAGCGTGCCAGAGCCCATCTCGAAACACGCCGCAATGATCCCAACATGCACTGCAGCGACTACCTCTCCGGCTTTCCATAGGAAATGAATAGAAAGCGTTGAGACGCTAGCCACAACGCAGAAGGGCAATGTGAATTCACAGGCCGGGACACCAATATGACCCCGAGGCAGAATCAATATGAACGTACAAAGACGTCATGACGGCTGAGCTTAGTATAAAAAGGGTTTCTGTGAACTGGTGCTGATTGACTGAATGATCCCGTCATGCTTCCTCTTTCAGCACTCCCACACTAATGCTTTCCAAACCTTTTTAATGTCTCTTACAAACACACAGAGGGCAGAGGACGTGACACTGGATAAATTGCATAATCACATTGGTGATGAAATGTTTCCAACGCATTTGTGCAGTTAAAGACGCTGTGCAGGAGTTTGCTTGAATTAAAACAACAAGTTATTTAATACTGGGTGATTAGGACTTAAACATTCGTTGCCATGGTTTCGATGCAGGCATCTACATCATATGATTTTTAAAAATATACCTTTAGAAGTTTAACAACTAAAATTAACCACAAAAGGGGCGCCAGGTAGCCTAGCGGTTATGTCGGGCACCCCATGTGCAGAGGCTATAGTGTACTGTAGCCGCCGTGGGTTTGAATCCCAGTTCGGACCTTTGGTTGCATATCATCCCCCGCTCTCTCCTCCCAACATCTCCTGTCTCTTTTCAGCTGTCCTTTCAATAAAGGCCTAAAAATATCATTTAAAATAAATTATTCTGTGCAGTTTAAAAACACATTTTGGATATAATCCTGAAGTGTCACTTTTCATGAGGCATGATGGACTTGTTAGTGATTTCAGTATTTGCTGATCTGGACCAAAGTAGAGTCAACTGTCAGACATCTGCCTACCTCCTCTGCGCAGGATGGTGATGGGAGCAGCGCCGGGCTGAGAGCTGCTGCCTGTGACTTCAGGTTTCGGGACTCTGTTGCTGTTGGCGAGGCGTCCTGAAGTCGTGATGCTGGCTTCTGTTGCAGCTCCCTGGACGGAGCCCAGCTTGTTGGCTGTATGCTGGATGTCTAGGAACTTTAACTCCTTGATGTCCATCGCACTGGAAGACAAACGCACAGCGGGCCTTACTCAGAGCTCTGACTGCAAAGTGAACAACAGATCTCTGTGTGCATGCCACTGGATAAACAGAAGAGGCGCTGACATTTAAAGGGATAACTCTGAATTGAAAATCACAACGTAGGCTGCATGATCTGATTCTGAATCAAAATACACAAAGTGAAAGCGATGCTGGGATAGATCAGGCAGATGAACTTCACCAAAGTTTGTGCAGCAAGATGGTACTAATGACTATTTCAACATTGATTCATGTATGGATCACTTCTTTTAAAATCAATTAATTGTTTGGTCAATTAGGCCTCGAGTCCACTTGCTGGTTTTTTTCCTGAGCAGCAGTGTCTTTTTTAAACTGTTTTCAATGGAGGGGGGAGCTGTGTTCGCCCCGTAACACTTCAGTGAAAATCTTAGCCGCCCGGTGCTCTTTTTTCCAGATGTATGACATTCCCCATATTTTTGCCTTCTACAGATAGTGTCATGTACCCACATCCTCCTCTCTGCTCGTCAACATTGAGGGAGAGCAGCTGTGTTTGTATGATCATGTAAAAAAGTCCAGTGAGCAACATCACCACCGGCACTAGTTTGGTAACGTCTGCCATCGCACTACTCTCCTTCTGTCTCACCTGAAAGTGACCTCAGGAACAGGACACCGGACTCCATTGTGATACGGCCGTCTCAGCGAGATGGTCTGGCTCGCGTGATCGACTGAAATCACCTCTCCCTGGTAGATTCCCAAAGTCTGCCCACAGTTTATAGACACAACACTCCCCAGCCAGTCTGTGGCCATTGTGTCCACTGTGATCGTGTGCCTGAAAAACAAAACACAGAAGAAGAAAAATAACCACCCACGGCTTGGATTTTACGACTTCAAACAGTCTTCAAGGTTGGCTTTTATCGTTTTAAATCATGAATATCACACCAGCTGGTTCAAGTCAAATAAACACACTCAAGTGTTCAAACTATCAGGAAACATTTAAATTAACCGCTTCACACTTGATTGGTGATTTACAAACACTACTGCAAGGACGACAACACTAACCCATTCAATTATGGTATGGAAGACATCTATATATGGTTGATTTTTACATGAAACCTTAGAAATTTGAAAATTTGGTACGGTGACAACCCTGGTCACAACCTTAAATTAACCGCAAAAGGGACGCGGACAGCCAAGCGGTTATGCCGTGTGCAGAGGCTGTAGACCTCAACATGCAGGCCAGGATTAAATCCCACCTGTGGCTCCTTTCCCGCATGTCATTCCCTGCTCTCTCTTCCTCCCCGATTTCCGACTATCCATTTCTGTCTCTCAAATAAAGGCACAAAAAGCCCAAGAATAAACCTTTAAGATAATACATTTCAAGGCGTGGACTGTGATGAAACTGACTTGTTTTAGTTCTGTCCTTCAGTACATTTTCTGAGTATCTGTACTTACTTGAGCATTATTTACTGTATTTGGGGAGACTTTTTACTCCTCTGAATTTCTATGAATGTTCCCGATACTCGCTGATTCTGCTCTGAAGGCAGCTGATGAATTTTCTGTTCTTTTCTCAAATCCGACCCGAAAGACTAATTAACTGTGTTTGTGTAGCTGTGCGTGCGGCTTGTCTAACTGGTGTTTCCGTACCTGTACGTTGTGCGTCTTCATGCTTGAATGTAAAGCGAACGCAGAGCAAACATCACTCAGATTAGGCGACTCATTTAGATGATGGTGAAGGCGGCTAAGATTCTCCACCTGAGCACCCATGGCCACATCTGCAGCCCATGTTTGAAATGTGTGAATGTTTTCTCTCTGTGTAAAGCCTGACTGACTCTTTCTCTTGTCATCAGGTACTTTTGGTTTCACCTGTTATTGTCCCTTTTATTTTGAAAATCTGCAGCATGTGAGTTTAAACATTTTAAATAATGTTTTCTAAATCAACATAACATAGCAGAATGTGCAGCTTGACTTCATGCATCATGAAAATATAACAATGTTTAGAGTTTGTTTTACATAGTTTGAATAAGTAAATGTAAGAACTCCAGCACTAATTTGACTGAGCACTTTTAATTATATTTAATTATTTATTTAACCAGGTACACCTATACTTTGACTGAAGAATGTACTTCGTAAACTACTAAACATTTATAAATTAAATTGTAGTGAGCACATGCTTCGTCTTATAAGAGGAATGTATGAAAGTGAACCTTTTACTCGAGCCTCATTTAAGTGGTGTTACGGGTTAATGAGTTACCGTGTTATCTGGTGACTCTCAGCACATGTTGAAAACATAATGTCCTCTTTCTTTAGAGTTTGATATTATTAAAGTAACTGATAGGTATATCTTGACAACATAAACAAGGGCACAAACAGCTATAAGAGCTGCTCGTAGGGATATTCCGTCTTCAAAATCTGCTTTAACTACGACAACCAGAAAGTCACCAGTTAACACGGTAACTCTTTAAACTGTAACACCGGCGAGCTTTAAATTCGCTTTTTCGACTGTTTCGTTTACCCCACGGAGGTAAAATTAAGCATACATGTAGTTGAGATTAAAACAACCCTATATGTAATCCATAAAAGCGCTGTGTTAAGATAAATTAACGTATTTAGCCTGACAGGCGTTGAGCTGTGCTAGCTTGTGAAGCTAACGTAAGCTTAGCTTCTGTTCGCTTAAACAGAAGCCGACCGCGACAACCTTTTTAAATATTCTTATATTTTCTCATACCACAAACTGCGTTTTTGGCAGTTGGGTTTGTATATATTTATATTTACCTGTTCGATAATTTTTGTGGCGAGATTTCAGGAAAAAGTCAAAGCTCCTCCGGTTGTTGTTCGTGCTGTTTCCCGTGTTAGCGTGTGACGTCACTTCCGCCGCTTCCCACGTGGGTTTGTTGTGGTTGTGACACGCTTAAAGTAAGTTATCTGCAGATGTAGGAAGCCCCTGTAGTCCCACAAAGTTAAAAACATTATCGAGTGCACACAGAATAAAATCAACATTTTAAAACTTTTTACTTTTTGAGACTTCTTGGGCTCCATACGAATATGTTCCTACTTATTCTAACATGATTTCTCTTTTATTTTTAAATATAAATGTTTGCGTTATTGATGTTTATGTGTTGGCCATCGCTGTGTTACTATATAAATGGTAAATGGACTTGAGCTTAAATAGCGCTTTTCTAATGTTACGACTACTCAAAGCGCTTTTGCAGGTAACACCTACACATTCACACACTGATGGTAGAGGCTGCTGTAGTGACACCATCGGAGGTCACTTATCCCATTCATACGCATTCATACACCGCCGACGAAGCAAGAGGAGTAATTTGGGGTGACGTATCTTGCCCATGGACACATCAGACATGCTGCTGCAGGAGCTGGTGATCGAACTCGCAACTTCCGGTTGAGAGACTCTACAGCCGCCCCATGTGGGTGTTTTAGATTTCTTTAAGATAGGAGCAAATAAGGAACAAGATCTCAACAATGGACTTTTTATTTAGTTATTTTTTATTTGTGTGGCTGCTTAAAAAGCCACAGATTGCAAGCCCTAACATCGAGACAATCATTGACACATTAGAGATAATAATACAACTTTTCATAGCCTTCAAAAATGTATTTAAAATATCTCTAGGCGTCTTTTGGTGACATGAAAATTTCATATAGATGCGCAGCAAAACTATTTCACCTCAAGTATATACAAACGCCAGGCAACCAAAAAACTGACTTAAAAAATACAAAGAACTTGATATACATAGAAAATCACATTTTGGGATCCAAATATAGCTTCAGTGTCTTACATCCACATCAAAATTGAATACAATTAATTAGCTTATACATGTAAATGGTATCAAAAGGTAATATTTGTTCTTTCCAGAGTGTTGTGTCACAGGAAAAAAAAAAAAGAAGTAGGGCCCAGAGGTCTAAATATGAATGCCCATGCTTTAAAAACACACAGTTTGTCCCAAAGTTGAATAAGACAACTTATAGTCACTGAGTATTTTACAACTCCTTCTTCTTAAACTTCATTTAGAGGCACCAATCATGTGCAGGACTATCTCAGTGAGAAGCAAAAACATGACAAGAGATGTGTTCATCATACAAACCAGGACATCACTGACAATCTGCAGCAGCTGCAAGCAAAAATTCACTTGTTTGCTTTTAAAGCCATTAAGCTCTGGAGCTTAAACTTGGCATCCAGTGCCTGACATTCAGGGAAAGACGCTTATTTTACCGACTCTTAACCTGACTGTCACCCATAAAGTGTTAGAGTCAACCTTTACAACAACAAGAGTCATACAAAGTACATTAAAAAATATAGCTTCAGTGCTCGTCCCTTGATCGCATTGTAGCCCTCAGGTGGCAGCGCTTGTTCTTCATTGTGAGGCCGTACTCTGGGGTCATGTCCAGAGGCTCTCCGGGCATCGCGGAGAACTGAAGCTTCTGGATGATGATGGCCAGGAAGAGGAAGACCTCGTGTCTCGCAATGACCTCGCCGATGCAGCGCCGCTTCCCCATGCCGAAAGCCATTACCTTCTCCCCCTCCAGCTTGTTGAGCTCTGTGCCGTCGGGGCTCAGGAAGCGCTCCGGGTTGAAGGTAGACGCATCTTTCCACAGCTCACTGAAGAAAAAAAAAAGTAGCAAATTAAGAGATAAGATAAGGAATTGGGGCGGCAGTAGCTCAGTCTGTAGGGACTTGGGTTGGAAACCAGAGGGTCGCCAGTTCAAGTCCCGGTGCGGACCAAGCATGGAAGTTGGTCTGGTAGCTGGAGAGGTGCCAGATCACCTCCTGAGCACTGCCAAGGTGCCCTTGAGCAAGGCATCAAACCCCCTCCCCACCACCAGCTCAGGAGCGCCCACTGTGAGCAGCTCCATCCCTCCATTAGTGAATGTCCATAGGATCCTGTTTGTGTGCATGTGTATATACTTCAGCCTATGTGTGTGGTCATGACCTACAGAGTGTAAAAACTGAAATTTGGCGACCCTCTGGATCAAGAAAAGTAAATCTTAATCTTGAATGCAAACAACTATGTCAATAAGCAGAGAGTTTCATGTTTAATTAGCTGTTGTCACTCAGCCAGGTAAGCAATTGTACTGTGCAGCTGTGGTATTTGAGTACAAACAAGATGCAAAGATAACAAGAAACAACAGGAACTTACGGGTCGTGGTTGATCTGCCACTGATTGATGAAGACACATGTGTCTTTTGGAATGAAGTAGCCGTTCAGAGATGTGTCTCTTGACGTGCTGAAGAGAAGAACAAAGTGTTAGTCCACACTGACAACCAAATCGATTTAAGCATTTTTAATGTGCCACATGTGGTCATTTCTCTCGTCCTAAAGAGGGTGATTCTCACCAGTGAGGGATAGTGAACGGGAGGAATGAAGAATGGCGGAAGATCTCCAGGATGAAGGCCTCCAAAAACGGTAACTTGGGTTTGTCAGAGAGGAGAGGAGTGCGATCCAGGCCGACTTCATCCTCTGAAAATTGAACAAATAAATCATTTATTAACTTTTTAGAGCAGCAAAAGGTTCGTTATGCAATGTAATCAAATCTGTTTATCAGTCTGTTGCTGTCCTGTGAGATAATATCCAAGAAGGTATTTTAGGTTTCTGTACTCACTAATTTCTTGGTAAAGCCTCTCCTGTATCTCCGGGTATGCAACCAAGTACATCACTGACCACGACAAAGCGGTCGAGATGGTGTCAAAACCTAGAAGAGAAACAAAACCGCTGTAAGAACACGTCTTGGTTTTTTTCTAATTCAGGGGAAATATCACTTCTGATCGTAAAAGATAAGGTCGACCTACCAGCTCCGAAGAGGTCGTTGACAATTCCTACAATCTTCTCGTCGGACATTTGGACGTTGGAGTTCTCGTCCAGCTTCCTGTCCTCGCAGTGATCGATGAGCGAGTCTGTGATGTCGCGGATGTTGTCCTGCAAGGTGATTGGACAATCTGAGCAAAACGTTTCCTCACAGTGACTTAAATATGGAAACATTGAGGAAGAATGGACAGAGTAAGTGGTCATGATGTGGTTCAGGGTTGCGTACCTTGTCGAAGGTGGTGTAGTGCTCGGTGACGATCTTCTGCACGAACGCGGTGAAGCGGGTGTTGATGTCCTGGAATCTCTTCATCGTTTTGCTTGGCAGGAATTGAAGAAGCGGGATGAAGTCCGCGGGGTTCCCGCTGCCCACCACCTGGCCGAACTCGTCGCTGAGGTTCACCAGGCTGAGCAGCTCCTGGTCGTCGTGGTCATAGCGTCGGCCGAAGCACATCCCGCAGATCACGTTGGCGACCGAGACGACGATGTGCCGGAAGGGGTCGAAGCTCCCGTCGGCCCTCATGACCGTGTTGAGCTGTTTGACCAGGTACTCTCCCTCTTTGCAGACGTGCTCCTCCAGCACGCAGGAGTACTCCGGGGTGGTGCCCTCCAGGGTGGCGAAGGAGCGCAGGGCGCTGTAGGCCAGCTTCCTGCGAGCGCGCCAGACGCCGGCCTGGTCGGTGCTGAAGGCCAGACTCTTGCCATCGTTGATGAAACGGAAGCTGTACAGGTCAGGCCGGCCGGCGAAGTCGTCCCCTTGCTTGATGAGGGCCTGCCGGGTCGTTTCGCTGCCGCTCAGCACGACCACGGGACGCATGCCAATCTGGATCTGGAAGACGTCGCCGTAGCGCTTGCTCATGGCGGTGAGACTCAGGTAAGGCTTGCTGCCCACTTCCAGCACGTTCCCGATGATGGGAAGAGGTTTTGGCCCAGGTAGCCGACGGAGCCCTTCGGGAATCTCGGTTTTGAAAAACTTGAGGATCAGGTAGACCAGACACACCGTCGTCATGGCCACCAAACTCTCAGACACAGACACCGCTCCGATGAATGGCAGGATCATTAGCGGCATGATGACAACTCCTTTTTTTTCTCTGGCTTCTGCACAACCTGGAAATTAAATAGGAGGGGCATTAGAGAAGTGAGGGCAGGGATGAAGAGGAGTGTTGTGCAACATGTTGACTACATGCACTGCAAAAGTTATAAGTAACAGAAGACTGTCCCACGGCAAGCTTTTGTTGTAAACTCGGCTCCATGTGTTCTAAAGCTGCATAAAAAAACTCTTTGTACAAGAGGCAGGCTTGCAAAGTAGTAGCTTTTGTAAAGCTTATGACCAACATGCAATGACATAGGAAGCTTCTGAAAAGTAAAAAGTTTATGCATACTATAAATTGGAGCTGCAAAGACAAAAAAACAAAGTTAATACTTTTTTTAACAGCTATGCTTGCAAAATAATCTCTCCTCCTCTTGCTCTTGTCACACTCACATATGCTCAGTTAGAAATCATCCGTCATCATAATAATCTTACCTTAGTGGAAGGATAAAAGAAGAACAGGTCTCTGGTTCCGGAGGTTCTTTTCTTTTCTTTTTTTTTAGAAAAGTTGAATTGTGTTTCAGTTGAGATACGTCCGAAACTTACTTTCTTCATGTCCCAAAACCGAGAATGGGCTCTTGCTTTATAGTGCGCTGCACAGCTTCATTGGCTGCTGTTCATGACGTAACACCCTCCCCCCCTCCTCCTCCTCTGTGTCTCTCGGTGTGTTTGTCATGAATGAAGTTAAGTAGAGAGAAAAGGGGTGTGTGTGTGTGTGTAGGTTATGTGTGTGGTTGTGTGTGTAGGCTATGCGTGAGTGTGTGAGGTGTTCGTGCGAAAAAACAAAACTTCACATAAGCGAAGGAATTCTCATTTTCACAGATGTTGACACGAAGTGTTGTTACCTCTGCAGGACGTTTTTTAATTTTTTATTGTCTGCATGTGTTTTATGTGTTATAGTTTATGGACAGATAAGGCACACACACAAAAAAGCCGTCACAGGAGAGCACAGTAATCTGCACAGCTATAAAACAGTTTTTAATCTAAAAACGATAACACTGTTCAGTTTAAATGAATGTTACCTACTGTTCTACAAGCTGCAGCAAAAAAAAAGTAATATTCAAAATAAAAAATATGCTCCATATATGGAATATTCGCGCTAAAACCTCATCCGTGCCCATGTTTTCTGACTTAAAAATCTTAATTGTCTTACTTTAATTCACTAAGCCATCAATGTGCATGTCTTGCAAATTAACCTGTTATTCCTATGACTCAATAAAGTTGAATGAAACTTTATTGATCAATCGTTTTTTATTGTAGAGGAGTGTTAACACCTCTCTCATGGCTGGGTTAACTCGTTGATGAGATGGTTTTCAAGTGTCTGGAAATCCATTATTAGCGGGAGATTGTGATTGATTTTGGAAATCACCAGTTAGCAGACTGATGTGGTTAAATGTGTTTAAAAAAAAAAACACAGTATGAGCCCAACATCAAGTCGCGCCACTTTTCCACATACAATGGGATATATCTCTGCTGAATGATCATGTTTTCTCTCTAATATCAAATAATTCCTGTTAATTTTTATATACAAATTGAACAAATCTTGGAATTTGCATAAAAAGTCTAAAAGTTCTTATCACTGAGTGATACGCGTGTGGTGCGTGTACCTGTTGGCTCTCCAGCTGGAGTTAAAGATTGACCAGTTGCGTGAGAGCGCAGTGATCAAACCTTCACCTCCCCTCAGAGGAGGATGCTGGGAGGGAGGGAGGGAGGGAGGGAGGCAATGGTGCGGCACGAATGGAGTGCAACCAGGGTAGATGAGTTCAGACCCGTACAACTTCCCCCCCCCCTTTTTTTTTTAAACCACAAACGCATTCAAACCAAGCTCTGCGCCGCGTGGGACCTCAGCATTGATTTAAGAAATATAAATTGTTTTTTTAGATGATTCTTGTTTTAAAACTGAAAACTACCCAGCTGTTTTAAAAAGAACCCAGTCCGGCAGAACTCGTGTGCGACAGGTGTTATGCCAGTAAGATCTTTGACTTGCAGTGGATTTGTGGAACTAACTGGCCCTCAGTTTGACTTTTAAAAAATCATGGCACTAGTCAAAGTCATGCGCAAAGTATGATAAAGATCATGTTGTAATGTGTATTAGACTATTTTTGTCTGATCTCTACTTTGTGTGTTAGTTCAGCCCTTAAAACCATTTAATGATGAGATTTTTAACACAAATAGTCAAAGATATATTTTGCTTTGGTATTTCTGCTTATTCTATTTCTATTAATATTTAAATCTTCATATATATTTTGTAACCCAAACAAATGTACATGTTCTCAAGATAGATGTCAAAAAAGAAAGACAAAAATGAGATCCTTCTCCAAGACAACAAAAACAACAACTACACACCCACAGAAAAAAATACACAAAACAAGCAAACCCCTTATGGGCAGCCCCCCTACATGAAAAGGATCCATGTACACATACCTTTCCACATGCATACAAATAAACATATCTTTCTGCATTCTGATATTTTCATAACTGAGATGTGTTTGAGCCATAACTTCAGATACCTTATCCAACTGGAACCTTCACCCAGGATGTAAAACTACATAATCCATAAATGTTTTCCACGTCTGGCTAGTTTTGTTTTTCAAGGGCACCAGTTTCTGTCATGTATTCTATTCTATTATTCTATTTCTATACCATGTTTAAGAGCTACTTTAATGGCCTAATGTCCCGCCCGGGATTAACAAAGTATTTCTGATTCAGATTTTATGTTGATGTTAATATTAGACTGATGAGTCTATTACAGGGATGGGCAACAATTATGTCTCAAATTTAACTCAACATATACCAGTGATCAAATATAATTATGGACATATTTCTGGTTTTCATGATTTAATGGCAGATTTAGTCATGTGTTTCTCCATGTTGAGGGTTGATGGGGGCCGCATGTGGCCCACCCCTGATCTATTATCACACTCAGCTGTTACTGCTAATGCCACACATACTTTTACCATGATTACTGACATTGTTGTTTTTGCTTTGTTTGTCTCTAACTTTGTCTTCCCCATCTCTCTCTCTCTCTCTCTGCCTGACACAGTTTCAGCAGACGTCTGTTCATCATGAGTCTGTTTCTGCTTCTTAAAGGAAGTCTTTACTCTCCACTGTAGCTTTGCTAAATGTTAGTGCTCATGTAGATTAATGTTTGGGTCTTTGTAATTCAAAGAGTACGGTCTGAACCTAAAGCCTTTTTCTAAAGTGTCTCGAGATATCTTCCAGTCAATTTTCATCAACTACCAAACTTGTAAAAGGTTCAGGTTCAGACATCTTTTTGTGTGTCTTCATAACCTTGAGGTCTTCAGAGGTGGTTGGTTTAATTGACCTTACTTTGGAGAAACCATATCATCAAAGGCCTCTGTGTGAATTTAGGATTTCCTTAACTTGAACATACAATGTAGAATTTAAATGTTTTAATCAGCTTTTGAGACGACTGATGGATGAAGGACTAAAGTATTTTGAAAAAAACAAAACACAAGAATTTTGTTAAATTCTCAATTGCATTGTTGTATTTTTACATTTTCTCGTTAATTGACTACATTTGAAGGTAATAATGACGTATCATTTTGTATATTTCTCTGGGTGATTCATACCAGAATATAAGGTGTCCCATTTAGCCTGTTGATAAAAGCTCTCTGTTGTGTGTTTGATTTGTCTTTATTGTCTCATTCTGTATATTGTCGTAAAGGAGTTAACGTTATAAAAATGTATAAAGTTGGGAGCTATGGCTTAGAAATAATTCTACAAATTATTCGTGTCCCGTGTTACTCCCCCTAACAGACAGAAAATAGGTCTTTGCCTTTTTGGAAGATTAAGAGCTAGATCTGTAAAAAGTGTCTTTCAAATTGTGAGTTTATTTTGGTCTTTGTTATAAAAACTTTCAGGCTCAAACAATGTGAGGATTATTTGGTTCACTCACTCAAAAGTTGTTTGCGTTTATAATAATTAAAAGTGTAGCGTTTGGGAGAAGTCGGCAAGTTGTTTTGGTTGTTGCTTTTGATTGTGCGTAACCCGCACGACTTGGCTCGGCTCGGCTCCGTTCCTGATCCTCCCGGCCTCCGTGTGTTGACTCTCCCGGGACTTTCGTCGTGCGCCTCGGGGCTGCGCCTCTGGTGCTGCTTGCAGGTTGCGTGAGAAGCGGAGCTGGAGTCCAGAGGGGAGGGTCCCGGTCTTCTGGACAATCCTAAATCTGCTTGGTCAAGTCACGCGAAGGCAGCAGCCTCTGGAAAAGACACAAGGGTCTTAAACTCTCAGAACAAAGAGCGCAGGACGCGAGACTCTCTGTTTTTTTTTTCACCCTGCTGGGCACGAAGGTGCACATATTTGCGCGCTATAGCTCCTGTAAATGCGAGGATCTTGGGGCTTTGGAGTCATGCAATCTGCCACTCAGGCTTCATTCATCGCAGTCATGCAACACAGCGGGGCCGTGCCACACAGGCGAGAACCCACAGAACGGACAAAACAAGTTGTGAAACCTGGAACTTATGACACAAGGTGAACCAGTCACTCTTTTTCTGTCACGCAGCGGGTCTCACAGTGGAGCCTGGGAGAGTCATTTCAATGCTTCATGGAAAAGCACGCCTCATTGACAAGATTGATTTATTTAGAAAAGAGAACAAAAATATATTTAGCCAACTTCTTAAAGGTCATGCCTATGATTAAAAAAAACTTCAAAGTGTCTTCAAAAAACACCTTCATGAACTGTAATGTGGAAACCAGGCTCCTTACAAAAAGCACAATCAACACAAACACTATACACCACATAAATGACATTATATTGTAAGATCATTATGGAGGAAAAAACTGCTGAATGAAATGAAAAAATAATCCTATTACAGCTGCAACAATATGCCTTACTGCCTATTATTACATGGATGATTTACTGTACTCATTACGGGGACTTCTTGTAGCTCTTGAGGGTCATATGTAAAGATGAAAGCCTCTTTTAAGCAGCATTACTCACCAGAGTTTTAAATTTCACTCCCACAAAAGGAGAATCACTCGTCTGGTTTAATAACAATGAAACCTCAATCACTTTGAAAATCTTAAAGGAAACTCTCAAAGGGCCTTTTTTGTGTGTGTGCATTATTCAGCGAACAAAGTGAAGGTGATCCACACTTCAGTCCTGTTCCCTTTGGGATGAAATTGAGCCTGATTAAAGGTGAGCATCTAACAGTGGGCCGGTGCACCGCCTGAGGAGAGAGAGCGCTCGGGGCTGCAGGAGAGTGTGTCAGATCGCAACAGGTGAGCAGCTCGCACAGCCGGAGAAAGAACAACTTGAAATGTCTCACAGCTGGACTGAAATGATGCTGCTGCTGCTGCTGCTGCACCCTCTTTAAAGACACATTTTGCAGCTCTCACCAGACCACGTGGGTCAGTATCTATAGGTATCAAACCTGACAAGCAGCTGCTCCTCCAAGACTCCAAGAACAAAAATAAGCCAGGAGAAAACGAGGGGAGCTGCAGGAGGAAGGATGTGAGAGCCTGGATGTGAGTCAGCGGGGAGAGTCGGCTCACTTCTTAAAAAGATTAATGAGATTACTACTGGATGTGTAGAGCTACTGTTAGTGAGTGGAGT